AAATAAAATAGCATTTTGTTAGGAATTATTTATTTTTTAGAAGGTGGATAAAAGAATCTCTTTTAGTGTTTTTAACTTTAAGTGATAATTTGTTTGATTTAAACCAGTAAGAAATCTGGTTTAATTCTAGGTTTATAAGTTGAAACAGTGTAAGGTTGTTATAATAGAGATAAAAAGAGGTTTGTATCATTTGTATCATAGCTTAATTTGCTTTTGGTCATTTTTTTTTTTATAATTGTTTAATTAAATAATTATTAGAACATTAAATTACGTCAGAAGGTAGGCGATAGCAACAACTGCAAATAAATATTTTTGAGACATCTTTAAATATTGGAACCACTCTAACTAGTTTCAAGAGATTAGGTAAAACGCCATTTTTAAATGAAAGGGTAAAAATAATAAGAAAGAGGTATTCAATAATATCTAAAACTTTTTTAACAACCCTAGGGTTTATACGATCAAGACTTGCGCTTTTGTTTGGATTTATCTTATCAAAAGCAAACCGAAGTTTATCAGGCGATCCATTACGAATTTACACTTCTTTCAGAAGTTATCCTGAAATTGGTTGATTCTAGGTTTAAAAAAAAATTATTAAAACTGTCTGCTATATCTTTTTGCTCATTAGTTATTGTTTCTTTATCCTCAGTAAATAAGTATTTTGGTAAAGTATTCTTCATATTTTAAATAAAAAACAAAACTTTATCTTAAACACTTAGGAGAACTTTAAGGCTGAATCGAAACGGCACTTACATTACATGGATTTAGATTTTAAATATTTTTTTGAAAATAAGTTTAAGCCTTAAACTTATTTACCTTAAATTTAGATAAAAAATTAGTATTTAAAACCATTGTTGCGAGTCTTTTCTTACTAAAATTTGCTTTTCTTACTAAAATTTGCTAGTTTTAATTTAAAAATCACTTTTTAATATTTATTACTTATAAAAAAATGTTGATATGACGTACTTTTAAAATTTTTGTGGGCTGCCTTCGTAGTTATTAGCTGCATTTCTTTAATTATTTCCATTGAAATATTACTTGCTGAAGTATTTTGCTAAAGATTATTTTTAATTTTATTTATTGTTTACTATTTATTTAAACATTTAGTAGGCGTAAAATAGAAACTTAACGCCAACTAACTTTTTTTTAACGCCGCCTCACGTTTTAATGACGCCACCTTACGTTTTTTGACAAGTTTTTTGAATAAGGCTTTGTACCCGTATGTTATTTTAATTTGTTTTTTAATCAATATATGCTTTATAGAATATAATACTCTATAGAATATAAAATAAATATAAATGCTCTATAGAATTGATACACCACCGAGAGTTTTTTTCAAACAATTTTTTATTTAATTTTTTGTAATTAACAAAAACAGCCCTAAAATAGAACCCTGGGAAACACCACAAGTTACGGCATACGAAAATGTTTGTTTTTGTTCATACTGTAAAAATTGCTTTATGCCAAAAGTAATTTTTTTAAACGATTTATTTTTAATATTTAGGTTTTTTTATTAGTATTCATGATTTATGGTACCAAAAGAAAAAATATCTCTAGCTGTTAGTACTAAAAGCGCTCGATATTCGATTGGCTAGTTCAATCGGCGCAGTGGTAGCGGAAACAAAGGATCCGCGGTTCAAATCCCACCTCTGAACAAGTTTTACGACATCGGTTAGTAAGAAGGCGTGAACTTTCAATTAAATGCTCATCAAAGGTGCTCTGTGATAAGACCGTAAGGACTTCTTGGGGCACCTAAATTTTTAGCAATATTGATTTATCAAAAGTTGTGTCTTTATCAATTGTTATCTTTATTGTTCTTTAATTCCTTTTTATGATATTTAAATGTTTCTTTTGGCTTTATTTTGGGTTTACATAATAAAGCTTTTTTACTTTCTTTTTGTTTTTTAGAATATATTTTTACAATTTTTACAATTCATTCGTTTTTATAGGTTTAAATACTTATCATACACTTATTTTTTATATTAAAAATAAGTGTATGATAAAGTAATTGTGGAAATCTTCAAAATAGCTTTAAACGCTCGGATTTGTCTATCGTTTTAACTTCTTATTCATGAAGGACAGCTTTTGAATAAACATTTGATTACTTTGGGATTGAAATGATTGATCGCATTGATTATGAAACTCTCATCCCACATTATGAAATTAAAATATTGTTAAAATCTTTAAAAAAGTTAAAGTTTCCTAGCTTAACTACTTATTGCATTTTCAAATTTGGAATTTTTGCTTTTCATTTTTCTTATTTTGTTTTGTGTTTTAACTTATTCTAAAATAAACGCACATCAATAAGATAACTAACTAAAACCCCAACCGCAACGAAGAGGTTTTTGACTAAAAATTACGTTAGGGATGTAGAAATTGTATAGCTCAGAATTGAGAGATCGGCGGAATAGGCCTCTGTCTGGCTACTTCAATTTGCTTTGTACAGTTAACCCCAACAATCAGTAATGTTTGAAGAGATAAGAATTCACTTGTTTGAACACAGTTTAACAAATAATTAAATGTTCATAAACCACTTTATTTTGCATGTTTTAAGATTTTCATAGCCTTTTAAACCAAGCTTAAACATTTTTATAACATTATTGAACCAAGTTTAAACATTTTTATACCATTATTGAACCCAGTTTAAACATTTAAAGAAAAAGTGTCAACAATTTTTTTAATTTTTTCGCATTATGTTATTTAGAGAGATTTCTTAAATTTGCTTAAATTTTAAGGAAATTTCGACAGGTTATGTCATCTGTGACATAAAAATTAATTTTGACTGCTGAAGATTTAAATGTATATTTCTTTGACACAATCATATCTTCGGCAAAAGCTTGTATATAATAACTTTGACAAAATCTCTCATCATTTATCATTATTTATTGTAAACATTACCCTGAAAATTTAATATAGTAGAATACAGAGGCGATTCTACATATAAAATAAAAGGAAAGGAGGGGGGAGGGGGGGAGTTAATCCATTAAAAAGTACCAACTGTTTTTTCTAGTCATATAGGAGTAAAAATTATGCTACACTGTTTTTTTTTAGAAATAGAAAATATATTGTTATAACTAACATTAAACTAATTTAATTTTCCTTTAATAGTAGCGCCCGCTGTTATAGTAGCGCCCGCTTTTACATCAATAATTTAAAAATGACTTTTGTAGGTGATAATACAAACAAACACCAAAACGTGTTTTCATGAAAAATCAAGCGCATAGATTAATCTATAGCCCTAAGGCATTCCTTTTTGCAACCGTTTTTTTAATAAACTAAACACTGATTCTGTCATTTTGTTATCTTCGTATTACTTTTACCAAATTATAAGAGAAGTTAAAAAAACAACTGTTTTTTTATTTAGAAAATTAAGCAATTAAACTAATGGATATTTTGCAATCGTAAAAAGCTTATATTATGTTCAAACAGATGTGTTTCATGTCTTACTTGTATTGTAGACGAGTATATGTATACTTTTATATCACAGTGGCAACAAAAAGAAAAGTTTTTCTCCTTCTTGAAGCTGTCACACTCGTCTCATAAATTTTGAAGCCGTGATCCTCGTAAATTTTCACAAACTTATAAAAAATAATTATGCCATATCGAAAGTATGAATAAGTTCGGCGCAAGTGAATGGATGTAATACGTTTTTGCAGAATAAAATAAAAAAAATCTTCTTTATTTTTTTTATTTGGACTGCAATATTTATACTAAAAAAAAAAGACAAAGGATTAGTTATCGAAATTTTACCGACTGAATATCTAAAAAAACTTGTCAACTGAAGTTTGAAGTTATATTGAAGCTTTGTACAAAAAATTTAACGTTTACAATATGTTATTTAGATAATTTAAGTTGGATTTTTATACATGTAGAAATAAAAAGAAAAAGAAATAAAGACAAAAAACTTTTGTTGAACGTAACATGTTGTTATTCACAATTTTACCCCCTGCACCTTTTTTTTAAATGCGTCAATTAAAGCGTTTTCTTAATCTTAAAACGATCAAAGAATCATTTTAGAAAGCGTTGAAATAAATTATTTATTGCTATATTATTATTATTTTTTTTTCAATTTTTTTTCATTAAAGTTTTTTTTAAATAACTTTAAATGTTTAATTTGGTATTTGTGCAAAAATTGATAAGTTATAAGTTTCATTTTGTCATCTTATTACGTTTCAGAAGTGACCATAATATTCATAAATGCAGCAAGTTCGGGAGAGAAGGAGTATAAAATATGAAACAAGCAAAAAAAAAAAAAAAAAAAAAAAAAAAAAAATGTTTATAAATTAAAATTAATTAGAATGTATAAACATTAAATACTAAAGTTTATATTTTGTTATTATATTATTACTGAGGTTGAAATTGCATTAAGATTTAAACCTTAATACAATTTCAACCCCAGTAAAAATTACTAGGGTTGAAAGTGTATTAAGGTTTAAACCAAAATAAAACTTTGACCCGGAATTAATATCATAGCAACAAAAAAAAAAAAAGCAAAATAAAAAAAAAATAAGTTTTTTAAAAATGTTTTAATATTTTAATTCATATGATATTTATATATATATATATATATATATATATATATATATATATATATATATATATATATATATATATATATATATATATATATATATATATATATATATATATATATATATATATATATATATATATTCTAAAAATATTATTGATTAAAAATTCTTTTTGATAACTTATCACAAAAATGCCCGTTTAAGGCGGTATTGTGGTAACCTTATGCATTTATAAAATCATTGGACTTTTATTTATAGAATTATTGGTCTTCATGGACACTTAACTTTGAGGAAAATTACGAGAACTTGTTTCTGAAACTGTTAAAAAAAAAAGAATAAGATATTTCCAAATTGTTAAAACGTTTCGCACTTCAAAAAAAAAAAAAAAAGGCATTTTAAAGAAATAATATTTTTGTATTAATTCAAGTCTGACACTTTAAAGTCTGGCCGCTTAAAAGCCTGAACCGCTGTACGAGGATAACAATGTTTTTTATTTCCAACGGGGTTTGATCGAATTATCAGGAAATAAATCTTTAATAGTTAAGAGAGTAAATATTATTTATTTTTTTTCCTTCTAATTAATCTAATACATGTGAGTGTTTATGAAGTTAACGCTTGTAAACTTTACGTAGTTACCTAAAACTTCATATTTAAAAAATTGAATAAAAAATCTCATCGCTATTTTTAATGAAATGAACAGCAAGTAAATGGCCTGTATATTCGTTTCTACTTTCGCAATTGTTATCCGATTTTAAATTGAGTAGCTAAGAGTATCTTCAAAAAGAAAAAAGTTTATGAATGTCTTCTACTGGTGAAAAAAACAAAAGAGATAAACAAGTATTACTTGATATTGACAATTCAGTCAGAGGTAACTTCATTTTTCTTTAGCTACAGTTTTAGTGATTAAAATGCTTTATTCTCGGAATTTTTAAAAAAGAGCACACAAATATAAACATAAGTAAATAACTTATTATAATCTTCATAAAGATTGTTAGTATGTTTTAAAAGTTATCATATGCAATATTTTATTCAATCATGTACTTTGTTAATTCTAAGTAATTTTTTAAAATTTTTATATCAAATTATTTTTATGTCTATATTTAATTGGTAATTTTAACTTTGAATCCTAAAAATGTTATTGTTACTTTATAATTAATCTAGGATTTTCCAAATGGATTTTTTATTAATTTTTGTGCAAAATTATCCTCATACTGTTTCTGTCATATTTTCATTTTTTAATTAGAGAAATTTGTGGCATCACTTATAAATTCCTACTTAATTATAGAAATTTGTCCATTATTTATAGCATTAATCTGGTTAATTAGTGATCAACAAGTAAATATTGGTAAGGACATACTAGTACTGTTATAGCAGTCTTGTTATGATTGATAAAGATGATAGTCTATTAAGAAATCCACCAAACTTTAGTGAATGAGTCTTATTTTTAAACAGTTTAGGAAAGTGATCGTAGCAATGTAAGTTTCAACTGTTGACAACGCGTTAGTGATTAATTTTTTTTTTCAATTCAGGTTAGAACCTTGAAAGAAAATTCAAATCAAAGCTGATCAAATTTTCTTTCATTGCATAAGCAAAAAACCTCTATTTTTAACAGAAGGCAACAACTTCAAAAAAAACATTGACTACAAAATCTTGGTCTATCAGAAAACCAGACAAACTGTTTTTAGTTTCTAAACCCAAGCCTAAAAGGTAAATTCATCAAATAATTGAATTGATTATCTTTGTATAATCATTGAATTGGTTATATATCTTTACACATACAAGCTGCCCAAAGTTTCAATATAAAAGTGAGGAAAGTAATTAAAATAAACAGTCAACAGTTGATTTAAAAGAGAGTACAACAACAGCTGAAACCTTTTAACAATAAAGCTTCTGTTAATTGAATGTATTCTGTGCTTTAAATTGCTTTGCTTTTTTGAATTGTCTTGGTAATTGAATGTGCTTCTGTGTAAAAAGCTTGATAAAGTTATTTCTCATTCTTTTATCACAAAATCACAATTAAGCCATCTAAACCATCTTAAAAGAGACACCGATTCTTGGTAAAGCTATTTTCCGGGAAGGAAATTTATGTCGCTATGTATACTTAAAGTACTTAACAACACATATTTTGTTAACCATAATAAGTAAATAGAATATAAACTGAGCAAAAGTAATAGCTTTATAGGTTTTCTCCCATTATTACCACATTGATTACTTTTATATTACAAATGTAGTAATACTGTGATTTTTTTATTTCGTTGATGGTAAAATCTAAAATCTCTGGCATTAGTTCATTTTGCATAGTTAGTAGCTTAAGTTTCTCTAAACATCAAAGGTTAACATCATTAGTTAGACTAATATTAATATGGCAGTCTGGTTAAAAATTATTTTATGCATATAAAAAATTAAAACCAATATCAGTTCAATTTGTAGCCATCGTTTGTTATTCTCTTCAAAATAAACTTCAGAGCTTTTTACATATAGGCCACTTTTTTCAAAGATGTTTTATGAAATATATAATAGACTAGTTATTTTTAGCAGTTAAGTTTATGCCTTTATTAAGTTTATTTTCAACTGCATCCAAAATATTAGGATCAACTAACTTGAAGTTTTCTTGTATTATATTTGAATAAATATTAATATTTTTTTTATGTTTTAACTATATAAAAACATGAATAACATATATAAAGTTATATAAATAGGTATTTTAAGATGTATTAGTATTAAAACACAAGATTGTAACACTAATCTAGTCTCACTGAGGCCCTGAGACTAAATAACCATTAAGAATAAAATATGTATAATGTTTTAGCCACATAAAATCAGGTATATCAAATATCTTGTAAAAACCATTATTAGAACTTCTGTGGAAATCCGCGAATTATAAACTGAATTTATATTGATAATATACATATTGAGCAATGTATTTCAAGTTTAAAATTGCTGGACCACCTTGGACTGCAAAAGTATTTTACTATACAAGTTAAACTTTAACTGAAAAAAGTACTTAAAATATGCCATCATTTAAAATCATTTTATTTTATATAACTTATGTTTTGTAGTAACTCATTTGAAAGATAATACTAGATTTTATTAAGTTATGCAATAAAAAGAATGGTAAAGGTTTTAAAATTTTTTTATGCTTTTTAGCACAAAAACCATTATCAAGTTAAAAAAACCATTATCAAGTTAAAAAATTTTTTAAATAAAAAAGCTTTTTTATCCTTCAGTTTAGAAGCAAATGGCGTGATAATTATGCAACAATATATTCATTTTATAAAAACTGAATGTTTAAGTTATAAAATAGAGTCATTCCATGCCAACTGGACCAAGGTCTAACATGGACACCCTCAGATTTTGATGAAACATAGTGGGTTTGTTAATATCAATAAGGAAAGTAATTCCTGAAAATTTCAGCATAAAATCTTTTGTGGTTCACAAGGTATGGTCATTTGAAGTTTCTGATTTTTCCAAAAATAAAAACTTTAGTACTCAGCATAGTTAAGGAAATATCCAATGAAAAATGTAGCGTTGAGGCTCTTTCGCTTTTAAAAAATGTTTGTTTTAAAAAAAAAAATTACAAAGCTCGTTGTTTTATTTTGTTTTCAAATATTTGGTGATTTTATTATCTACGAGTTTGAAGTTTTAGCTTAATACTATGGATCAGAAGTTATATAAAAGCTGAAACCTTTTTGTTTGGTAATTTATTCAAACGACTATAAAGAGTAGTAAATTGCTATGAGTGAAAACTAATTTGAAAACTTTGATTTTAACATTTTTATTGTTTAAGGAAAAATAAAATAAGAGGTTTTTAGTCATTTATTGAATATTTTAATGCTGTAAACAAGTATTTTTACTTTTGAATAAATGAGACATTTTTTGGATGTAAACACTAAACCAGGGTTGGTACCCAAAAATCCAAACCCAAAAACCCACCAAAAACCCAACTTATTGGGTTTTTGGTCTTTGGTAACCCAACTTAATGGGTTTTTGTATTTATAATATTTTTATTCATAAATTAATTTTCATTCACACTCAAGATTTGATGCTGCTCAAAGTTTAGTGAATCATAAATGAGATTTTATTTTATTTGGAGTAAAAATATTCAAACTTGAAGGTTTAAAACAAAGTTATTTTACAACTTAGTCATCAGCAATTGTTCATCTTGACCTTAATGTATGTAAATTTGTACAAGCATTTTTGCTTTTCCTCGTCCTAAAAGATTCCTAATTTTGATTCCTAAATCAGGCTTCATTTAACCATTCCTCAGCTTCTTCTTCTTGACTTCTATCTAAGGTTCTTTCTAGATAAATAAACAATTTTCTATCAGTATTTATTTAATTTGATGCAAGTTTTTAATTTTGTTACAATTTTATAGTTACCTTTACATTTTAGATCTGTTAAATTGGCCAGAAAATGATACAGAACTTTTGTTTTCTTAAACCTCTTTAAAATATCATCTTTGTATTGTCTTGGATACTATGAGCAATTTTAGAATCATTACTAAATGTACTCCAATCATCTTGAATTAGGATAACAGCACAATCATTATCAAGATCACATTTCATTATATTGATTATTTCTTCGTTTACCTTTACTAAGAGTTCTGAAGATATCTGTTTTCTATTCTATAGGTAGTCATGTCAAGTTTTTATACTATGTTGAATGGTATATTTGTTGAAAAAAAGAAACCTTCAAATCCAGTTCATTTTTCTAATTACTTGTTGTTGAAGTAACAAATTTAGAAACAGATGTTTGCCGTTGCATCGTCATTGTAGTTAAATGAACAATTGACAAAGATTTACTAATAAAGCTAAAGTAATCTTGATAATTATCTTCTGACTGGTTAGACTTGTTTAATGCTGCAGATGTAGATGGTCTTGACTCTAAAACTGATGTATCGCTAAACACTTATAAATGCAGATTTCTTAGCGTTCTCTTTTTTCTTACTTCTGAATTTATCAAAATGGATCTTAACTCATTATTTTTTTAATTTTTTCTCTCTTTGCAATAATTACATATTACTCTATTTGGTTGATCACTTAATATGGTCACTTCATTCTACCGACTGCCAAATTTCTTCCATCTAATTGATACTTTGACATGTTAATGTCAAATAAAGACTTACAATTCAATTCTATTTTAAAGGGATCCCTAAGTGCTCCTAACATATGTTCTCATATGAAAGAGCATAAAAAAAATTATTAACTAATAGTTTTAAATAGTTTAGAACTTTTAAAAAAGTCTTAATGGCGATTGCTTTTCACACTATGGTGGTTAGTTTTTTTCTTAAAAAAAATCTTTTTGCGATTTGCTTTTTTTTTTGGTTGTTTAATTACTTTTTTTCTAACTTAGCATTTTTTTTTAGCAATTCTTAAAAGTAATGTTTTTATCATAAAGAAAGTCACACAAAATTTATTATTAAATAGATGAATAGACGATTTGCTCTTTCGCGCGGAGATTTTCTTTCAACGTAAAACATTTTTGAATTTAAATTACTTTAAACCTCTGCGTGGAAAATTTTTACAAGGTCGTTAAAGTGAAAAGTTGAAAAGTTGGTTTTTATCTTTGTTTATCAAAACTTCATGTTTAAAATAAGGCTTCAAAACGTTAGAGCAAAAAAATTTCTGACTTTTATTTGTATTTTTATACTGTTTGAAAAAAAAACTAATAAAAAAGAATTAATTATTATTATTATTGATTCCAATAATTATTAATTGATATATTATTAGTTAATTCTTTTTTATTATTTTTTTTTCAAACAGTATAAAAATGCTAATAAAAACCAGCAATATTTTAAACATGAAGTTTAATTCGATTTATTAAACCAATTTTTTTTTGTTTCATCTTTTATTGGAAAACTTTAAATAG